GGGATTGCGGGGTGCGGCAGAGGGTGCCGTCCGCGGAGGTGCGGGTGGGTTTTGGCGTGGCCAGGTGACCCCGCGGGAGGGCTGCTACCGCGGGGACCGGCCGGGAGCGCGCCCCTTGCAGGCAGCGTGCACAGGAATGGGATGCTAATTAAAAAAACAACCAAAAAAACCCCAACCAGAGGGGCTTTTTTACATTTGGAAATACGGGAATGCTAACTCTTCCCGACTTTTCTGGGAGAATTTTTTGGGACTTTCCAGATAGAACTTACGAGTTTTGGGGAGTTTACTGAAAGGATGAGGTATTACCCGTAAGACACGCTCCCTTTCTTTCAAAGTGCTGGTCGTATGGAGTGCTATCAATTCTGCTTCTTTTGAAGTTGCCTAACTTTAAGAAAAATCCTTCCACTTCTCAGTCTAAAGCTCCTGGAACTTTTTATGGCACTCATCTAATGGGTTCTTGGGGACTCATTTAGGAACATCCAAACAAGTTTCATCACAATCTTGCAGTGGGTCAAGGGACTTCGTAAGTGCGCAACATCTCTTCCAGAATTATCTGCATTGATCTGTAATTTCCTCACTGAAAAAAATATTCACAATCTGTACAACTCAGAAAAAGTAAAAATAAAAGAAGCAGTTTTCACCTATTGTCTCCACTTGTTACTGGAGAAACAAAGTTGTAAGTGATGGAGTCTCTGTTAGATTGATTTTAATTTAGAAGATTGTATCTTTTGAAGCTCATCATATCCATGAGTTGTTTGTATCACTATTATTTGGAAGTAGGGATTGCAGGGCTTTTTTGCACTGGAATCAAGAGGTGCAATGGTATGTTGGAAAAATGTTGGCCTGCAATTGAGTTCTTGCATTTTTTTGTAAATTTATTTTAAAATATTAGATCTTAGTCCTACAAATGGATAATTCGCTTGGCACAGACATAGTTAGCATAGAGTTTTACACAGGTAAAGCTCTGTGGAAGTCAGGTGCCTACTTGTTTGAAGATGACAATAGGTTAGCCTTACCTAGGTTTTGTTATTTACTACATGTAGGATCCATTTAGGACTCATTTAACTCTTCAGGCTAGATTTTTTGAGATATTGATAGACCTTGGTTGATCAGTATATGTATATGGAAAGGTTAGAAAATTTGGTTTTCAGGACATCAGATTTCCCATCAAAATTTTGCAGGCAGCTTGCCACAGGAAGAATTTTGGAATTCAGCTTGTACAGGTAAAAGTATTCTCGTCCTGTTTCTAGGACAGAGGTGTACATCACAGCATGTTCACAAGTAATCTGTCAGAAAGAAAAGGCTTTGGTAGTCAGGAAAAGTGGTATGTATGCATTCTGCTTTGAAGCAGCAGTGTGCAGTGGGACTCAGCTTGGCTGGGCTGTGAGGGACTGCATTTCTTTGAATGGCAGGTGAGCTCATGGTGTGACTGTGGCTCTTACATCACAGAGGTTAGGTGGGTCAGTAAAGATTACGGTCCAGTTTCTTTTTTTTCTTCTTACTTATTCAAAGTTTCTGTCTGAGGCTGGGATTTACTGGTGACACCCAAGTCCAGAGACACCCATCTCTGAGTGCTGGACTGGCTGTACCCAGTGCTCCCATCCTTGCTGGAGAGGAAGGAACGTAGCAGCCGGGGTCAGGGCATCCCTTCTGCCTTTCCTGGCTGCAACCCCAGTTACTTTGGGTGCCGTCATCCTTATTGAGTAGCAGAGATGGGTAGAGAGAGCTCATGCTAGTTCGGGAACCTGCTGTGATCTGTGCTAATCCTCCAATCTAGATTTCTACCTGTTTTGTTTTGGTTTTTTTTTTCCCCAAAACTTTTCATTTCAGCATCATCCTAGCCAGTCTAGCTGTAGGCCAGAGTCCAGTTATGAGCTTCCTAATCCAAGTATCGTCCTGTACCCAGTCTTGTTCATTCACAGCATTAAGGCCAGTCACTTGCAGCCTCCAGTTACCCTGTCAGTCCCTTCAGGCTCCTTTGGTATTTTAGTCTTTTCTCTCTGATAATCCTCAGAGAACTCCTACTTTTCTGGATGTCATGCAAGGACAGAAGACCAGGGGTCTGAACAAAGCAAGGTGGTCCACTGAAGGGCAAAAAAAGCTAGGGACAGTGAGACTTGCTCCAAAAGATTACAAAAAACTTGCAGAGAAGGGTGTGTTGCTGTCTTATCTCATGTTATGGCCACTAGTATGGATTTATACATTGGATTAGCTTGAAAATGTGTTTGAACACAGTTTTGATGTAAGGATATGTTCGTGGGAATTTGTAGAATTTATAATATGAAAAATGGACAATCAAGATGAGATTCAGCTGCAGATTAAGACACATGAGTGTCTACACCTATTTGACTAAGACACTTATCTACATATGGACTAGGTTGTTATAGTCAAGTTGTGATCAGTGGAGAGATCTTGTCAATCCTTGCAGTGAAACGTGGAGATGAATTCAGCCCAAGTAGACACCAAGCAGCTGGCCAGCTCAATAGTTGTAGGCTCTTAACTATGATGGCTAAATCATCCTTGAGTATGAGGGAGTTTAGACACCCAAACAGTGTCTTAATCTGGAGCTGAATCCTTCCCCCAAAGTACATGTTATTTCATTATTTGAAGATCCCTTTTAAACTATTGTAACAGATTGCAGAATGTATTTGTTAATACAGCATACAATCTATGGCATTTAATATGTACTTAACTGCTCTTGTTGTAATCCAGCCTTTTTTAGATCTATCTTTTGGGTTCTGCCACTGCTCCTTGTTCTGTCTCCAGTGAATTCATCCAGTTGTGCGATGGGAAATAAAACTACAATCCATGCGAAGTATAAGAATATACTAATCCATGACATCAATGAGCTGGTAGGTAATAGCTCTTGGGCTTTCAAAAACTGTTCATTATTTTTAGGTGATAGCAAATAATAGTAATAAAGCAGATCTAATGTTAACATATGATAGAAGACCAATTTAAAATCACATGTTATCCTGGAATGGTGGCTTTATTTGAGCTGGTAAGACATTCAGACTCTTTTAATACGTGGATGCTGCCTATTTGCAAGTACAAATATCGCGAGACAGGTATTTGTGCCTATGCACAATGTGGTTAGACACATGCACCATTTGGCCCTAAATAGTATAATATATTATATTAAAAAGTACTCTTTTCTGAAGTAATTTCTTTACTACTTATGTTTACATCTTCTTATCAAGAGAATAAAGCATTACACAACCTGTAATTTGTTCTGCTATTGGCAGACTTACTGACTGAAGGTTTATGTTGTCCATTGAATACAAATGCAGAGGCACAAAATTGATAAAACAATACATTTTTTACCTATTAATACATCTTGTTTGGCCAACAAGCAATCAACTTTTCTCGATGGCAGCAGACAAAAACTTAACTTTCTCAATTGTGAATCTCCTCCATTATGTCTTTAGCAGCCAGATTTATTATAGCTTTGTAAAACAGTATCGTAACAGTTTGCCAATCCATGCCCAAAAACCTACCTTCCAACTCTTCATCTTGAATTATTAACAATTAAATTAGTCTGTCAAGAACACTTCAATGGGAGAAAGCATTTTCCATAGTTGGATTAGCAGAGGCATGTCTACAAAAATGGGATTCTTCTGAGTCCGTCACTAAACAAGAATTTATCATCTGTTACAGTCTTAATCAAGATCTACTTTCACAAAATACAAGTGATATGCAATGCTTTTCCAAACATGAAATCAGGAGCAATTATATTTCTTCACACTTACTATTCACCACCATGTTTCAGAGCACTATGCCAGTGGTTTCCAACTTTTTTCTACCAAGACACATCAGGCTTCATCTGGAAACAAAATACCTTTAGGGTCAGGGAATGACCATTTAATCTTCAAAAACATTCTGAACATGTTGCATTTGTTGAGATTATGAAGAGAAAAGGGTAATTCTCCACAGATAAATTACCTTATTCTGAACAAGACACCAAAGATGGGGAAAATATTCATGGCCATATTAGAAGAGATAAGTAGCCCCTTTGGTTTGTCATCGTATTCTGACACAAAGTGTTTCCTAGAGAACAACAATAAACCCTCTTGGTGAGCAGTCACAAGATAGCTCACCTCCAAGATCCTGCTGTCGTCCTGTGGTGGAGAGCCAGGAGGTGCGTCCCAGCTCTGCTGGAGCTGCAGGGTCAGGGAAGCTGGGTGGGTGTCCTGGGCTGGACATGGCAATGCCTTGCCACTACCCAACTGCAGGATGAAGCTTGATGCACTCGGTGCCCTAGGGTTGCCATCAAGGATTTGAATGGAGCAATGCCATTCTTCCAGATACATTTTCAGTCTTTATCTTTTTTATTGTAATAGATATTATAGAGGGTTTTTTTAGGAGACTGTATGAGAACTAAAACTGTTATTCAACTAAATAAATAAAGCCTTAATGAATTAATGTTTGGGAATGTACTGAACTCTGAAGCTTTTATGTCCTAGGATAGGCATGCACAAGCAACTATTCTGCAAATTTCTTCGTTTTCCTGTCTTTATTTTTCCCAGAGAGATTAATTTGTCTTCTGTGTAAAATCAGTGTAGTCTTGTCACTATAACTTAACAGCAAATCTTACAGACAGGGCTGTTTGGGTGAGAGCAACTGCCCACTAGGCACTTTTCTGCAATTGCAGAGCCAAAGTCAGTAGCTGTCAGTCCCTCAGCCTGATGTTTGGAGGCAGTTATGGAGAAGACTAGTGGGTTGTATACTAGACCTTCACAAGTTAATGTGGTTTTCACTAATGCCTTTCTGAGGCCAGGGTTTCCCTTAGGTTGCTTTAGTTACAGCCAATAAACTGCCTTCAGAATTGGTTACTCTATGTTATACTTACACTAAAGATGATCTGAGGTAATCTATGAGAATGGGTAAATACCTTAGCAGTTAGCAAATGAAGCCACAGATATATAGGTTATAGGGTGATTATTTATTTATTTATTTATTTTAAAATCTTGTTGCTGTGTGACTGTAGCAAAAATTCATTCTGTTGTGGTACAAGGAGAGAGAGATGTGTATTATCTTCCTAATGTTTTGGGGGTTTTTTGAGGGTTTTTTTGTCTCTTGATTTTGAAAACACTTCCTGGATGATGTTCTATTCATCTTGGGTGAACTTCTGAAATATAGGCAAAGTTACACAAACTTTTGCAGAAAAACTTTAAGAATTCAGGTGTCTAATGTGTTCATATGCATGCCTAAGTGAGCAGATCTAACAAAATTGTCATGATCTGCCTTTTTAAAAGCTCTTCTGGTTGTATTAGGTTATCTGGATACAGGCTGAAGAAGAAAGTGAAGGAATTCTGTTGAGTTGGGTTCAGCTGTCATCTTGATGACAAGTGTGAAAGTAGAAGAACCCCACCCCCACCCCCAGAGAATAGACCATTGATAAAAGATTATGGTCATGCAAAGGGAGCAAGTGATATTGCTTATGACATCTTCTGTTGGTGCATATGCAGAGTGAGTGCCACAATCTATTTAGATGCCTGGGGCATGTATTTATTGAGATAAACATTGACAGACATATTTGAGGTCCATGTAACATTTAAATATTCCTGTGTGTTTTAAAATGCCAAAGAACCAAGTAATTTGATAGAATATGAAGGTTTAAAATGCATAGATTGTGTCCATTTCTCGGGTCCCCAGTATGAGAGAAATATGGAGCTGTTGGAGGAGTCCAGCAAAGGACCATGAAGATGATGAAGGGACTGAAACATATCTCCCATGAAGAAAGGCTGAGAGAGCTGGGACTGTTCAGCCTGGAAAAGAGAAGGCTCAGGGGGATCTTATCAACACCTGAAGGGAGGGTACACAGAGCCTGGCTCTTCTCAGTGCCCAGTAACAGGACCTGGGGCAATGGGTACACACTGAAAACAGTTTTTCAGTTTGAGGGTAACAGAGCACTGGCACAGGTTGCCCAGAGAGACTGTGGAGTCTCCCTCCTTGGAAATAATCAGAACCCATCTGGACATGGTCCTGGGCAGCCAGCTCCAGGTGGCCCTGCCTGAGCAGGGAGGTTGGACCAGATGACCTCCAGAGGTCCCTTCCAGCCTCAACTGTTCTGTGATTCTATGCGATACTATGAATACCTTTAGAAATTGTAGGTAGGTTGGGGTTTTCTTTGCCTGCTTGCCAAGGAAAAGCTCAGGAGTCTACACTGACCCTGCTACATCAGAGGAGATGCTACAGAACAATTTAATGTTGACATCACCAGCTGTTAGTGAGAAACTTGGCTCACTTGATTAAAAGTACTTCCTTCCATGTTTAAACAAATATGATATTTTACAGGTAAATATGTCTGCAGAGTATCGTGACAGGTGCTGCAAGAATAAAAAACATGAAAATAGCAAAGTGTTTTTCTGCAATGATACTCAGGTAAAATTTAACTTCTCAGAATTTATTTTAGAGAATACAGATTCAAATGGGTTCTTTTTACAGTCCAGTCCCTGAATAACATATTATGATAGAGAGTAATATTACCTTTTAACAGTCAAATCATGACATTCAGACTTGTACCTTCTTTAAATTTGGAATCACACAATTTCTCAAGTAAATTGATATTTTAAAAATTAAAATATGAAGCAATTCCATATCCAATAAATGCACTT